AAAACCTTTGCTCTATCCAGCCATACAAAAGCTTTCACTGAAAATCCACAAAAGATTTCCTCAAATATAATCCTTTCTACTATTTTTTCTACATTGCAGTTAGTGTTCTAGTCAGACACAATACTTCTGGTGTTTGATTAATCTACTTGCAAGCTCTGAACTGGCACTGGTCCCATATTCTCAATATGCAGCACAGAAGATTCACCCTAAACTAAGCACAAGACATAAAGGTCTCCGAGAAGCCACTGTCACTATCAAATAAAATAATACATCATTTTCTCCAGAACAGCAGCTTCCCAGCTATGACTGTTGCAGAAAAGGATTCTCAGATGGAATCATGACCTTGAATGTACTTAACGGGTGCCTACCATTACTTACAATAGACGCTCCTTTAAATGAAGCCTAAAGTATATTTTTAAATAAGGCTCAACAGCAGAACCCGAGTCATCTAAGCAGTACCACCAGTGTATCTGTACCATACAGTGTGGGAAAACACAGAATCATTAAAAGCTCTTCAGCTTGATATCAAACAGCAAAGCCATAGAAGTCCCCAGTTTAATGCTGTAGCCAAGATGATCCTCCCTCTGCCTCTGGTTCGTAAACAGAAGCAAGCAGCTACCAGGGACAAGCAGAGACACCATATTGCATCTGCATTTGTCAACACTATTGGAAAGCTGCATCAGCTTCTTCCCAAATTGCACAGCAGGTGATTAACAAAAGGGTTCCATGAAAAGCCAAACAGGTAAGTTAAAAACTGGAAATGTGCTTAAAAGTACAAAACACTTCGGGAACTTTATTTAGCCTATCAAGGAGGTAGAGGTTAAGGAGCAGCTTCGATCAGTCAGAAAAAGCCTGTATGAGAAAACAGAAGGCCCCTTTAGATTAACACAAAAAGACATGTTTCAAATCTAAGTTTGCTGCACACATAAAATGGACCATCAACTGGAAAAACTTCCCCTAAGTGACCATGGAATTTATCACTGCAAACACAGATGAGGATTTTATTCTGTTTTTTTTTCAAAGGGTTAAATGTAAGCAGAACTACAGCCTGTTTACTCATGTTAAACAAAGCTCACAACAATCCACAGTGGCTCCTTCAGGCACTGCAGCCTGTAAGTTAACAAATTCATTTATTTTAATGGTTGACTATGGAAAATGTATAGATCAAGCATTGATAGCAATTTCAAAGTGACCATTGTAAAAACACTGACAGCCCTTAGAGCTTGGTCTAGTTCAATTAAAAAAAAAAAAATTAGATAATGCAAAAAGAATTAAATAGGTAAGAAGAACTCCTCCCCAGCTGAGGAACCACCAGGCTGCACCTCCTTACTAATGAATAGCTAACGGCAATCTTTAGTTACTAAGAAATACTACATTTACATGCACACATCTGTAAGAAAGCCCATCCAAAACTCCTCGGGATTGGCTGCAATACATCACACTGAAAATATCTAACATCAGGTACAAAATCCTTTCACCGCTAGAGAACTCGGCCATTAACTAAAACTTACACCTCACTGGCACTCCTCCTTCAACTTGCATCATTTTAGTCAAGTGGCTTTTCTCAGAAGTTAAAGCTGCCCATCAACATCACACAGTCCCAAAGGAGGGGAGATTTAACAGCACCAGGCCACTGACACCTGCCTTCAGTGAAAGCTACCCTATGCAGCCAGGGACCAGCACACCGCACACACAAAAGAAAAAGCACTGCTGGCCTGAATACCATTCTCACGGAACAATTTCTTCAGAGTGCAATTCAGAGTCAGAGGAAAAAGGGGTACTGGGAGGAAGGGGATGGGACATGCACCTCTAGTGGTAACCAGATACCACAGAAGTCAGATGAAGGCTACTGATAAACAACCTACTAACATTGTGACATCTACTCACATACTTGGTACTGTAATTCAGTATCTCCTTTGAAACTCTCTCCAGTCCCATGCTTCAAGAAATATACAATGAGCTATCATTTTGACAGGACTTCAAACAAAGATTTGTTATCTCTCTTCCCCCCAAAAAAATAAAATATAAATGTTTCTGCTTCATCAAGAAAGCTTCATCCACAGCCTTCTGTGAATAGAAGACACCACGAGCAAATGTACACGAGCAGATTCACAATCAAGCAGATGATCTCTTCTTTACCAACCGTCTTGACCTGTCTGGCTTGATTTACATTAACTGTTTTTATTCACTACAACATTGATTATGTAAACCTCAAACAAAATCTTAACCAAACATACGCTGCCACATCACTGACAGATGATATGTAACATACTACTAAGAGAAGGTTATTAGAAATGTGTTTGCTGCAATGACTGACTTGGAAATGCCTTAGGCTTTACCCTCTGATCACATTAATGCGCAGACAAGCAATCACAACTATTGTGAGACAGCACAAGAATGTGTTCCGGTGGAAGAATTACCTACTGCCAAAAGAACACATTCCCCTTGATTTAAAGGTCAAGTATACAACAGCCATACTTTAATACTGTGAAGACAGAGGAGTACTGAAAGATAAAGTTTTGTCATCTTAAAAAGAGGACTGTGAGCAGTTTATGAGGTATGCCAGTTTCTTTGTTCATCATCCTTTTCACCACATAATTTAAAAGTCTCACAGATCAAGAGAGAAGATATTAATCAACATCACAATCAAAGCTTTTTTTAAAAAATAAAAAGAAAAAAAAACACACAAAACCACACACAGCCTCTCAAAATAACTTTTCTAAATCTAGCTGTGAGATCACTATCAACTTTAATCAAGCAATTCTAACAAGAGCTGCAATGCTACACTTTGTCTGGTCCACAAGTCGCAGTTTCACTATACGGAGGAGAGCAGATTTACACTGCCTTATTTAAACGGAACTCCAGATTACAAGATTTTAATACAAAAAAAGGTATTAAGAATATTTTATATTTTTTTTTTAGAATGCTGAACAGATGCTTAAGCTGTTCCAAGGGTTCCTAGTCACAAATGTTGAGTCACCAAAGAGAGACATTTGTATTATTTACAGCACTACATGCGACATTTAAGACATCTCTGAGAGCAAATGCAGTACTCAATTCCTAAAGTGTTGAAAGGATCTTAACAACCCCCAGCCTTCAGTCCAAGCATGGAAAACATCATTACACAGACTGCTTCCATCATGTCTACCTGTTTCTACATCTACCAGGCACATGGCGTCTGGAAGCTGTTACAGCCAATGTCCCATTGTTTCGGTATAGCCCACAGAGACGCACTGACCAAAGCGACCTGGCTGCCTGCTTGCAGATTTCTTGCTCGTAACTGCACTATAAGAGGATTTATTTGCCTTTTTAGCACATGTGACATCCAGAAGATACAACCTCAGCAGTTTTAGGGAACAGCTGATATTCAAATGAAAATTAAGACATATGAAATTTATTTAAATGTTATTAGCATGTTTCAGAACACAGCAGCGAGGATCAAGACCTCTGGAAGAACTGATAAGCTGAGATCAATGCATTCCCATATTAAAGGAAAAGCACACCAGACTGCTTGGTTAAGATCTGAGCCAAAACACAAAACATTTCATACTTCTATACTTTCAACTGCTGCTAAAAATAGTAAGCAACAGAAAGGAAAACGTTTCCAGCTGTGCAGAAAAAGCCTCTGCAGCATAACATCAATTTATGCACTCTAATTTAATTTAAGAGTCAACATTATACTATGACTTTATTATCAGAGACAGTGTTGCACAGCTGAAGTTACCCTCCATTTCCACATCTGAAACAGCAAGATCATTTCTTTATTAAATTTAGTTTGATATGGGTATTTCTCCCAAATCAAGTTATTCAACTTAAATTCAAGTTTTTCCAGTCGCAGCTGTGCCACGTTCATGGCAATAGCTGTATTTTATTCCATGGTAACTGCAGCTTGACCTAGTCTCGTGATATGAAACACTTAGCATCCCTTCAGGAAAAAAGAAACAGCATTGGACACAAGAGTACCCAGTCACGACTGCTCTTTTTATCTGCTCCCAGAGATTCAAACACTGTTTCTGCAGAGGTGAACACAGCTCTTTATGAAATGACGTGACCAAAACAAAATGAAAAAGTCCCTAACAAACCAGGATAAAGGTTTTTCTACGACCTTGCAGAAAATACGTTAACGTTCTGGGGAAGGCTGAATGGTGTTGGAAGGCTGCAACTGTTCTGCTTCACGGCTGGTTTGAAACCTTTCCGTTGTATTGATTCCTAAAAATTATTCAATTAACCCTACGTTTCTACATATTAAACTATCAAAATTAAGCATCTCCTTTAAGGTTCACAAGGGCTCTCAGCAAACACGTCTTAGACCCTTATCCCTCATCTGCTTCTACAGCGTTCAGCAGAAAGGCTTCAAGCTTTAACTGCAGGGCAAGTACGTAATACCAAGCGGATTACTTTAAGATCCATATCAAGCTAAGAAAATAAACATTGCCACTACGGATCCGAATAGAAGTGCTTCGCCCTCCCCCTCCCCCCGCCTCTCCTCCTAATTCCAAAGTCATCTCCCCTGCAATTTGCAAGGAGAACGCCGTCTCTCGGAGCGACGAGAGGAACCGCCAGAGATCGCTCCGAAAGCGGCTGCAGCCAAGGACCGCGGCTCGCCAGCACCTGCGACCGGCAACCGGCAAGGAGGGGGCCGGAGGGGTCCCGCCGCCCTCTCCGCAGCTCCGCACCCCCCACCCCGCACAAAGTTTGTTCGGGGCCGCTCGCGGGCGCGGGGCCGAGCCGCTCTGCCCCCCGCATGGACAAGCGGCCGCCGGCGGCAGCGGGGCAGGGCGACAGAGGGACCCCACGGCCGCCCTGCGCGCTCCGAGGTGGAAAGGCGGGAAGCGGCGCCCCTCACCCATCAGTCCCCTCCCGCCTCGCCACCGCCGGGGGTCTCGCACCTCCGAGCGCCATCTCAGTGCTGAGGGGCCGGGACCCCCCCGCCGCTCCCCCGGCCCCAGGACTGACCCCCACCGCCGTGGTCCCCCCCGGCTCCCCTCCGCAGCACTCACCCAAGCACCACCAGCTCCCCGTACTTGACGGGCTCCTTGTTGGGCGCGCAGTGCTCCTCCTGGCTGGGGGAAAACATGGGGCCGCCGCTAAGTCACCCGCCGCTGCCGTTCCACCGCCGCGGGGGCTTCGCAAAGAGGCGCCCTCCCCTCCAGCTCCGCCCCCGCTCTGAGCTCCCATTCACCGGCGGCGCGCCCGACAACGGCCACTACAGCCTCGGTGTGTTATGTAAACATAGAGTAAAGGGGACTGGGCTGCTCTTAAAGGGACCGCGCTCCGCGGGGGCAGGGGGGGCGGTGATGGGTTCCAGGTCACCTGGGAGACTGGATCACTGCGGAGGGTTCTAGATCACCTCTGCCCCGGGGATGTCAACATCCAGGGGGTGTCTTTAGACACATTCCAGCCCAGAAGCCCGAGGCTCTAGATCACCTGGGAGTCTGGGTCAGCTCCTGTCTGGGCCAGGATGCCAGATCACATCAGGGTTCTGGATCGTCTCCATTGCAAACCCGGCACTTTTCAGTGCTCCAACGCACCCCTCCAGGCGCGACCACCATCCCCAGCTTCACAGTCTGCTCCAAAGCTGGGCCGTGGCCATTCCTTCCGAACACTTACTTTCCATAAAAAGGAAAAAATAGGCTGTCCCTGAAAGCCTGCCCCTTGCAGCACTCGAGCATAAACACATAAATCACTTTCTATGGTTCTGTGATTTTCACTTTTATTTCTGACAAATTTAGGTGAGATAAGTCATTATGTCAAAAAACTGGTAGGCATTTGACCAGAAACCAAAGCTTTGTGCAGTGAAGAATCAGGCTTAAAAAGGCATCAGGATTAAAAAAAAAACCCCAACTCCAAACTTTCCACAGTGACTTCCAAGAGCTTTTCCCCGACCCACTACTGCCACTGTGTCTGCCCCATGGGCCCTACACTGAGAGCTCAATTTCCCTTTTCCTCCATACCCAGCGCAAGCACAAAACCAACAAATACCAGCTCCACATCCATCCACGTCAAGGGTAGAAATTCCTATTAGCCATTATTTGAGGTCTCCAACCTAGGAGCCTGTTAACGAAGACAAAAGTAATTACAGGCCTTCTCTGAAAATCCTCCCATGAGCCAGCATGGTCAGAGTCAGGACTGAGCCCTTCACCTCCTGACAAAAGCTTTCCTTTTGCCTGAAATCCTATTTAGCTATTAATTTTCCCGGTAATGTTTCAGTTGTTCCTGGTGAAGAGGTGAAATGGAAAAACCCAGCCAATCTCACAGGGCTGCAAAACGGAGGTCTTCCCAGGGGCTGTGTGAAGAAGACGAGATTTTATTAAAGACAGAGAGCTGAATTATTACAGATTTATCTTCTTTATTGCCCTAACTAAATAGAAAAGAAAGCCTGGCTGTAAGTCACTGTCAAAGAAAATAAATACAACCCCCAAAGCAGTGCGAAAAACAAACCTCCTGGCTGCATCCTCTTCAACTTCTCCCATTTCTCCCCCTGAAAGCAAGACTTCAGCAGTACCTTGGCTTTCGCACGGCATAAACAAACTTCAGTAGTCTTCCAGAAAACACTCCCAAGCTCAGCTGGACTTTCCATAAGTCAAACCTTCCATTAACGTGGCTGGATTTACAGCATCTACATGGGGATGGAGTGGATAAGGAAGGACTTTGAATACCTAATTTTGTCCTTTTTACCACTTTCTTGTTTTTTAACACTACACTTTTTAGAGAACAGGGAAAAGTTGCTCAGAGCCTTGCACACGAGGTTTACAGCAGCAAGGTTCTGCACCCTTCTGTCAAGGCTGCACCTTGTTTGTTCAGCATGCAAACCAGAGCATTTGCTGTAGAGGTTTGGGATGCTCACATTTGGGAGACAGCAAGATAAGCCCTGCTTCTTGTGGTAGTGCATAAGGTTTTTCCTTGGAAATGTGTTTCATTTGTACATGAACAATCTCTTCATTCTGCTTCTCTCCATGGGGTACTTTAGGCTGGTGGGAGAAGAGGGAAGCTCAGCCGCAGCCCCACGAGGTGTTTTAAGGGCTGCTGGGTCATTTCTTCCAAAATCATAGGTTTTCTCATTGCAATTTCCAAGGACCTATTGCTCCCAGTCCTGGAAACATGCTTTTCATTTTTAAAATTTTAGATTTTTGACTAATGAAGCAGAGCCAGGAGGATGAAGCAGCTTTGCTGTACATCGCACAGGTCCCTATCCCACACAGATCACAGCCCTGAACCCCAGCACCACTATTTCCTCCAGCTCCAAAAATTCCTTTTGCAACTGGTGCAGGCAACACTTGGCTGGCCTTTCCCCCCAAATACATTTAAATAATTGAGAAATGTACCCACAGCTGCATTCTGCATTTTTTTTCAACTCAAAATGCCTTGCCATCTCGGATTCAGCATCACCTTTCAGGGAGGTTAAGGGAGGTTTGGTTGTTTTCCCCTGGAAGTGGTAATCACAGATAACATGGAGCTCTTTCCCAGCAGCGCTGGCGGTGTAAGAGGGAGTTTACTCCCAGTTTTAGCACAAGCAGCTGCTTGGCTGGATAGAAGGTTATCCAGCCAAGCCAGAAGAGCATTAAAATAAATGTTTGAAAAAATCCCAAACATGAAGAAATAGTACATGCCCATTTATTTTTAAAATGTAATAAAAAGTTATTTTAAATGCAAGAAGATTAATAAGGATCTAATTCAGCAAAGTACTTACAGATGTGCTGGACTCCGAGTAAGTACTTCAGCACTTCTATGAATCAGGGCTTAGGGACCGGGCTTAAAATGTAGAGAAAGTATTGAAAGATGTAAATAGCCCTCACATCATACCTGCAGCTTTCACGTGAAACTCATGGTACATGGGATCAGTGCATAAATAGGGATAAAGGTTTGAATTCCCAGCTGTAAGTTGTTGTTAATAGAAAGGTTTCCAGGGGCAGGACCGCTTTTATGTTCAGCCATGGGTGCAGGATACTTTGGGCGAGGAAAATTGATCTCTGGAGTTGCAGCAGCCTGGCTTTGGTGCTCCAGGGCAGGTAATAAACCCCAGGAAAGGTGAAAATTTGTCTCAGCTCCAAGGTCAGGATCAACCCTGTATTGCCTGGGTGGGTGCAAACCCCTCAGGTTGGAAAGTCCCCAGCTAGCAGGGGACTAAGGCTTTTGAGCAGCCACCAAGTGGAAGCAGCAGAAGAAAGAGCTGTAGATGCTTTAAAATTAGGTTAAATGAATATACTACAGGAAAAAATGTGATATCATTGCTTATAATGGAGAGGGACTGCTGACAAGGGGTAGATTTAGGTGAGATATTGGGAAGAAGTTCTTCCCTGTGAGGGTGGTGAGGCCGTGGCACAGGGTGCGCAGAGAAACTGTGGTTGCCCCATCCCTGGCAGTGTTCAAGGTCAGGTTGGATGGGGCTTGGAGCAACCTGGTCTAGTGGAAGGTGTCCCTGACCATGGCAGGGGGTTGGAACTGGATGAGCACTAATGTCCTGTCCAACCAAACCATTCAATGATTTGATGATTCTATGATTCTATGATAATGATGCAGTACTGAGCTTAGCATGTTTTGGGAACCCTTTCAGTCCTGTGGTTCAGGGGTTCAGTGCCCATCATAGATTGGGCTAAAATAGAATTGCTTTTCTTTACAACATTTGGGAAGGTGTCTAAGTGCTTTGAACTTGCTCTTGTCGTAATTTTCCACCATGCTATGTAGTGGTCTTGATTCACAGTAACACCTAAAATTTAGAAAGGGAAGTTACATTAAAAATAAATGGAAGAACTAAAAGGATAAAATACTTTCAAGTATCATGGCAGAGCTTAAAGGTATATTAAAGGCTTCAGCTTAACACATAACACTCCTTAGTAAAGACCCTAAAGGATTTTCTAAAAGCAGAGGAGTTAAGTAGCAGAGTGAAGAAGGCTATTAGGAACAAGAAGGATAGCCATCAAAATTCTACATCCAAATGAGGGAAATAGAATATAGCAGAAACACTGGCAAATATAAAAGCACAATAAAGCAAGTGAAAAAGATATTGCAGAACAGTTTGCCAGAGGCATAAAAATGCCTGTAAAAACAGTAGAGACAGAAAATCTACAAGGGACTCATGGGGACTGTGGGCAAGTGGTGGAAGCTTGAAAGAAGTCCTGGGTGAAATAAAACCATAATGGGTCAGGTAAATGAATCTCCCATGTGTCTGCATGGGGAGACGGGGCTGGAGACATGCACAGCAAAACCATCTTTCTCTGGAGTGGGTCTTCCCCATGATGAGCTTCTTAAATGCAAGTGTTACCGACAGAGATTTTGGAAAAAAGAGAGAAACTGAGAAAGGAGCAAATTGCCAAGGTGAGATGTCACTGACCAAAGACTTGTCAAGAGATTCAAATACAATTATATGAGCAATTAACACTATTTGTCCACAGCAAACGAGAAATAGCAGTCATGAAACTGGTTCTAAAGAGGCAAGTTTAAGAATCAAGTTCCAATTGATCTGACCTATGCTAGGCAAATGCATAGAAAATACAGTCAAGTATAGATACAGATGGATATCTAAGGATGGCAGATCTGATAAACCGGGGAAAGGGCAACAGGTTTTTATTGGAGAAAGAAGTCAAAGTTTATAATACATTCACATCCTTTGAAGCAGTCAATGAATATGATGAAGAAGGTGATAGTGTATCACATACCTGGAGTTCATAAAAGCTTTGCTACCGTTAAGAGCTGTCAAAGCAATAAAAGTAGCATGAAACAAAGGAAAGGCTTCATGGATTACCAGCTAACTACAAGAGAAAACAAAGGCTAGAAACAGGTTCTTATTTTCACACTCAGGAGAGCCTATTGCCAGGATTTTGTGGTGCTGTGGGACCTTGGCCAGGAAGCTAACTTGTAATGGGAAAGTTTGCTGAGAGGCCAAAAATTTTAAGCTGACTGCAAAGGACTAAGGACCAAGGTCTTTGAATAGAAGGACCAAGCAAGAAAATGTCCAAGTAAAGTACATAAGAGAAGATGTCCTTAGCCATATCTGTCTAATGACAGGCTCTAATTGAGCTATTATCATTCAGGAAAGACATCTTGAGGTTTTACATCACTATAGGTTCTTCTCTTGAAAGATCAGCTCAGAGATCAACCTGAGTCTAAAAGACAAATAAAGTGAGACAGGAAATTTCTGT